TCTCTCTCTCTCTCTCTTCTTTGTCGTCGTCTGTGCAGGTGCGCGGCGTCCTCCTACAGCGGCGCAGCCATGGCGGTTCCTTCTTCCACTATGGCGGATGCTGACGTGGCGCTCAGCTGGTGCCCCTCCTCCATCTCACCGATGACGACGATGGCGGTGTGGAACTGTGGGAACCAGCTCCGATACCAATTGCAACCAGACTCGTCTTCTTCTTCACTCATCATGCATGAAAACAGATGACAATCACACTGGTGCCAGGCGTCCACACAAAGCTTAGAGATATCGAGACCAAGAACACAGTTCAGATTCAGATTTGCTCCGAATGGCTATGGCGCCTGTGGGGTCTCACAACATCCAGCCGACACTGTATTCCAAGCGACTGGATCTCCCTGGATGTCCCACACATGCACACACTGGACATAACACTCACACACTTACACGCTACACCCTACCTCTAACCTAGGGCAGCTATGGCTGCCTTCTACCTTCCCGACTAACTAGAGGCAATGGCCGCTTCGTCTCCTTCTCAGCCCACTTCTCCCTCGGGCACCTGCAGACCTCCTTGCACAAGACGCTCAGGCAGCGCTTCCGCACGGCTCACAGGCAAAATGAATGCATGACTGGACGCTGCCTCTTGATTTATACTTCGGTTGGCCGCTGCTCTGCCCCTTTCACCGGGCCCAGGGTGCACACAGTCCCACATGGTACTTGCTAACTGGACAAAGTGCGACTGGGACTGGGTACTGCTGACTGGTAGGCGAGGTTGGACTGCCCACTTGCCCACTTGCCCGCTTGCTCGCTTGCCTCTAGCCTAACCTGAGCAATTCTCGAAAGGTCACTCCTAGACCTTCCGGAAGTCTGTAGACTTGGCCTTTCAGGACTGTAGCAGCTACAACCTTGACCCTTCAGGACTTTAGCAGTGTTACGATCCTGGTCATTTCCCAAGTGCAAATTCACAATGAAAGACAATGCCACCCAATTGCGAAAGAAATGAAAGCACTTGCAAAGAGATAAAGACCAGAGGAGAGAGAAAGAAGAAGAAGAAGAAGAAGAAGAAGAAGAAGAAGAAGAAGAAGAAGAAGTACACCAGCAAGACCAATGACAATTTCCCCCTTCTCTCTCCACCTTCCTCCTTCCTCCTTCTCTTCACAAATCTTATTCTTCTCTCAATAATAATAATAACAGTGAATGGATGAACCAGAATCAATGTCCGAAGTTCCCCCTTACTGCTGACTCAACTCACAACAACAACAACAACAACAAGAAAGTCCACCATGGCCRTGGCTTCCCTCCTTCATCCTCCTCTCTCATGCATAGGCCATGGCGGACTACCGGGAGGCAGCTATGATGCTGCGCTGATGTCCCAAGACAACCCAAAGCAGCTATGCCGCTGCTTGACTTGGTCCGCTATGCCTGACTCTGCCTTGAGCTGCTCTGGTGCAGCGCTACCCCAACTGGGGCCTTCCAGATGCAGCGCCCAACAAGGTGATGAAGACGGTGTCCACCATAGCCAGGTAAGTGCCCTACCACTCCTACCATGCCCCTTCTTCCTCCTCCTCAAGCTGGGGTGCTCGCCATAGCCAGGCTGAGCCCCAGCGGACCTTCACCTCCAAGCAGCGCTGCTTCAGTCCAGCGCTGCGCTCCAGCAGCATGTCGCCAATCCTTGCATACCGCAAATGAGGAAGAGCCTTCCGCTCTTCCTGAAGATATCGTGGCCTACCGGCCTCCTGGGCGGTGACTTCCCAGGCCAAACGGCCTCCCAGGCAACCGGTACCTCCTCCCTTTTGGAGGGAAACATCATTGCAGGCTCTGTTATTGTCCGCACAGGCCCTAAACCCGGGCTACTTGGACTGGTACCAGCCTACCCCCAACCCACCGCTACTGGACCTCTAAAAATGCCAACTTTTTGTCTTCTTCTGCTCGGCCTACCTGCTACTCGAGTGTTTTCCCCAGCTTCTCTAAGTGCCGTGGGCCTATCTCCCGCTACCGGCGTGTTTTACCCCCCTGCAACCCTCCAGAGTCACGGCCACAGGTAAGTACCGGCCCGGTGGGCCTTGCAACCAACAAGTACCCTTGCGGGTCAAACACACACATACCCAACCGGCAAGCACTCAGACAGGCATGCACGCACACACACACAACCAGCAAGCACTCAGACAGGCATGCAACCAGCAGGCACGCACACACATAGACTTGGAACCACAGTAGAATGCGGGAATCACAACAAGGCATCCATTCCAGTGACAAATCCCAGAAATCGGCAGTGTTCTCAGTCTGTGTTTTTGGCGGGTCATTACAGCAGCTACGACTTCTAAACAGCTATGACCCCAACTTGACAGACCTACGGTTCAAGACCCAACGACCACACTAACCTGCGACAGACAACAGACGACTACCAAAACACAGGTCACGGGTTCAAACGCACAGGGGTCGACTTGGTACTGTACACGGGTGAGGGCAAGGTCTAGGGATCGAGCCCTGGGATCTGCATCTGCTACTGCAAAGGTGAAAATCGTTTCATCTCATGCCATTTATAACAAAACCCAAGGGTCATTTTAGCCAAACTTGCCACCAATTCATAGAGTGGAGATCATACTAACTGCTTACACAAAAAAGTAAAGAAAAAAAAAGAAAAAGAAAAAAAAACTACAAAACAGCAAGGGAAAAGTGCACTTTCATGAAATTTTGCCAACATTCCAATTTCAGAAATCTTGAGAAATTTCAGAGATCTCATCAGAGCAGATTCCAATGGACCAAATGATACCAAATGTGCCACGCAGCAACCTGAAACCAAAACAAAAACAGGCAAAAACAAAACAAAACAAAAAAAATTGACCCCCAAACCCTAATTTAGTAATTTCAGTTTTGGACCCGTTACTCAGGAGCTGAAAGTGGGGGTCCCGGTTAACCACGTGTGACATGAATGAGACGAGTTGAAAGCACAATTGCACGGAAAATGAGCAATAGCGAAATGACAGAATCCAGATTGCAGCATCACATTGAAAGCCAGAAAGTCCCACAGTGTCCAAAAAGCAGCATTGCACCAATATTACACCAATGGAGAATCGAAACACTGAAACCAAATGTCAATGCGAGCTTACTCTCGTCATCACCAACATAAGAATCCAGGCCCTTCCCCCTACTTGGCGCTCGGCGCCCAGGCTACTCCCACATGCCTACAAATTGACAATCCAACTATTGACGTCAGCAGCCACCGAAGTACATGAAGATGTCGCCCAATGCAGACTATCCCCAATACCAGGTATGTGCCCTCACGTCATCATACTCATCTCTCTCTCTCTCTCTCTCTCTCTCTCTCTCTCTCTCTCTCTCTCTCTCTCTCTCTCTCTCTCTCTCTCTCTCTCTCTCCCCCCTTGTCTTGCACCCACGTCTCTCCCTCATTCACGAAGACCACCACTACCGCTTGCTGTACGTCCAAGCCCCAGCCAGCTATGGCAGCTGGGCTATGGCGCTGCCTGCAGCAGCGCCCTTCCTCCTACACGACCGCACGTGCTTGCACCTTGCTCTAGCGCTAGCAGCAGCCCACGAGCATCCGCTCCAGCAGCGCTGCCACAAACTAGCAAGTGCCCGAATGAATGGCTAGGCAGAAAGCTCTTTCCTATATATGGAAAGAGTCTGGCCTGGCCTGCGGCCTGGCTGGGCTGGGCTGGGCCTGCGCCCAGAAGCTTCCGGTAGGCCCCGGGTGGTTGGGCCTTTGCTGCTGCTGTTGCTGCCTTGGGCCCCGGTTGGTTATGACTCCCAAGTTCCCACTGCTGCGAATGCAGCCCAGGGCCTGCTTCCAAGAAAGGCCTAGAAGACCGAAACAAAAGTGTGGCTGGCCGTGGCCTGGGTTCCTTCAGCCAACCGATGCGACACAACTGCCTGAACCCCAAATGCGAAATTGACAACAGTGGGCGTCTCGATTTTATCAGGCCCGCCTTCACTTAGGGCGGGCACAGTTTTGCCATTGGGGCCCTTAAGGCCTGCCGAGGAGCCTGATCCTCGCATTCCCTCCTCCTTTACTTCGATAGTCCCCTGAGAAGTTCTTCAATTTGAAGGCATCTTCCGTTTAAGTCTTCTTTCATATCCTGCAATCACTTGGGGAGCTGTCTGCTGCAGTTCGTCTCTGGTAACCACCGATCTTCGCTGGGATCAGTATGGTGTCTGAATCTAACCCGGTACTGCATCCTTGGCTTTGGAGGTCAGCCTCTGCTGGGAGGCTTAGGCACATGCATTACTCTTTTTTTGTTTTGTTTTTTTTGTTTTTTGAACAACCACCCCCGCCGGTGATAGTGGTGCTGGTAAGAGCAGACACCGCTAGCACCTGGGGAGCAGCTCCATCTATTGGTGGGGAGCATCATTGTCCATCGCAGCTGCAGTTTCTCCTTCGATTCCACCATCTCCATCATCAGCGACATCGTCCGCAGGTGGTCCTTCGTTGTCGTCGTCTTCGCACTGCTCATCCGGTCTCCGTCGCAGCAGTTCGTCGTCGACCGGTATGCCCTCATTGATAATGATGTTATGTAGAATGCAACAAGCAAAAAACTGATAACAAATATTCTTCATGTTTGCGATGTGCTTACGCCCAAGGCATCTCCACACTCCTTTCAACCTGCCGAAACACCTTTCAATCACGCTGCACAAGACAGAGAACTTGTTGTCATAGGATATCTCCTCCGCAGTCTGGTCAGTGCCACCAAATGGCATCATCAACCACGATAGTATTGGATACCCAACATCTCCCATCAGATATCTCCCCACCACCACGCCATCCATCAACACATTTGTCCTCCACGTGAAAGGTTCCCTCCCTTCCTCTCCACGCCAGTACAGATCAGACAGACGTATAACACGTGAATCATGAACAGAACCAGGTGCTCCGACGGCAACATCCAGTATGCGCATGTTCTCATCACACACAACCTGCGCTTGGATTGAGTACTGTTTGTTGCGATCGAAGTACGGCTTCACTTCCCCGCCACATGGTTTTTCAATATAGATGTGTGTACAGTCTATGGCCCCGAAACACCCGGGGAAGCCTTTCCCCTCGTAATAGTCGAGGGTCGCCTGCAAGCGAGCGCCTGTCGACCAAGACAAAACATGACCGTACTCTGCACAAATAGCTCTTGCGACGTCGTTCGTGCATCGTGCGGCGCTGTGTAACCCGATCCCGAAGTCGTTCCCGGATTGACGGTAAAACCCGCCGTCGCCCATCTGTACAGAGCGAAGGCCAACTTCAAATCAGCTGGCAAAGCATCTCTCCAGCGAGTGTCCCTCCTTTGAATCCGGTGACGAATTCGTTCCAGAATTTCGTCGAATACGGGATGCGTCAGCCGTGTGTATTCCCTTAATTTCTTTTCGTGTCCCACTCTCGTCATGTTCAGCTCCTCCCACGTTCCTCCCACTCGCTCCCGCAACCACAGTCGTCGTCGTCGACCAACGTCTGAGAGCCGGCTGTCCGCTCGCCCTGCGCCCTCATAAACTTCATAAGCAAGGAGCAACAACACATTCCTCATGTTTTGCAGCGCGACAATGTTCGTTATGGCATAGATGGACATGGCAGCGGAGATAACAGTGAGATGCTCCCTCATCCGCACCCAGCAGATGACCGCAGCTAGTACCATACTAAGTTGGGCCGCCGTCCATTGAGCCATAGGCTGCCCGGTGGTGGCGATTGTGGAACACGATCACCGCTTTCCACCAAGTCGATCAACTCCAAAAATGTGCATGCCACGACAGATGC